AATAAAGTTTTACTGGAACACATAATTACCATGTGTATGCCATGTTTTGTGCTAGGTGGTGGAGTTGAGTAACAGACAATGAGCGTGTGCCCACAAAATTTAGAATACTTACTACCCAGCCCCCTTATGAGAAGTTTTTGACCCTGGCATTTTTTTTTTTAATTAAAACTTAAAAAAAAATTTTTTTTTAAATTTTTTTAGAATTTGTTTTTATTTTATGTGTATGCGTGTATTGTCTGCATGTAGGTTAAGTGCACCCTTGTCATGCAGTGCCCTCAGAGGTCAGAAGAGGCTGTCTGATCCCTTGGGACTGGAGTTACAGTTGTTAGCTGCCATGTGGGTGCTGAGATTCGAACCCAGGTCTACTGCAAGAACAACCAGTGTTCTTAACTGCTGAGCCATCTCTCCAGCACCTTAACCCACAGCTTTAAATGACACGTGTTGACACTTCCCTTGTGATGGGAGACAGTGTGGTGAAGAAGGGCACATGCCTGAAGGGTTTGAAACCCTGTCCCCCAACCACCTGAAGAGCTTTAGGCAAGCTGAAGTTCTTTGAGATCTTTTCTTCCCCTTCCATTGAAAACACTGCAGCTTTGGGGAGATCTTGCACACAACCCTTGAAAGTATTCTGTGTGCTTCGGAGCGGCTGTCATCCTCTGTGGACATAACTCATCATGGCTGCCTTTTGCTTTATCAGGAGGAGGAGGCCAAGAAGCTGGTAAGCGAGGCTATTGCAGCTGGCATCTTTAATGACTTGGGGTCTGGAAGTAACATTGATCTCTGTGTCATCAGCAAGAGCAAGCTGGACTTTCTTCGTCCATACTCAGTGCCCAACAAGAAAGGGACCAGGTGAGTAATGGGAACAACATTTTTCCCCTGTCTCATGGCCTCGTGACCACAGTTGGTATCTCTGTGGCACCTGAATTGGGTTTTCCGGATTCTTTCCCACACTGAGGAAACCCACTGTTCCAAAGCAGCTTCCACAACAGGCCTTCAAGTCAGGGCTGCTTTATGGTCACGGGCTGTGGTCGGGCATGAAATGACTTAATCCATCAAACATTGGCAAGAGAGGTGGAGTGGGTCCAAGAGAAAGCACTAGGCTGAGAGTTGGGATAAGAGTGTCTCATCTCTGTCTTCTTCAGCATCTTAGCCCCTGAATCCTGGATGGAATCTTATGAAGTATGTAGGATTTAAGGTAGCCAGCCCACAGCTTTTCTTCAGGATGATCCAAGACATCCTAAAGGTTCTGAACCAGTGGTTAGGAGCCTCTGTTTGTTGGCCGTGGTAGCTCCTGATGTTTTTCATGCTAGAGAGAGCTGTGCCACTGAGGCCGTGGTCTGTACACTGGGTGCCTCACCTCCGTGGTCTGTACACTATGGGTGCTTCACCTCCGTGGTGCGGGCCAGGTGCTGGGATAAAGTTTAGTTCATTTATTCTGGTAACTGGTACATGCATATACGTGTGGTTCATTGATTAGCAGCTCTCATGGGTGTCCAGCTGCTTGAGCACCCTTAGCTCCTAAGCTCCACTTGGTGAGTCAGCAATACCTGTGGTTGGGCTCCTCTGCCCAGTCTGGCAATAAGGCCCAGGGCTCTGGTAAGCAGCACAGGACATCTGAAGGCTTCATTCCACCTCTGCTGTGGAACCCTAGCTTGGGATTCTTGAGAAAAGGACAGGCCTTCAGTACCAGCAGGGCTTTGCTGCAAGGCTACACTTGGCATTGTGGAACTTAGTGTCAGAGAGTTCTGGGGTGGGTGGCAGGGAAGGCTACTGGCTAGTTTGATGGCTATGGGTATCAGTCCCCCTGCATTTGAAATGACAGAGCTAGGCTAATCCTCTTAATTCCTCAGACCTTGCATGATAAGGGAAGCAACATTTGAGATTCGGGGCTGTGCTGGGAGCAGCTTCCACTGCAGGATGGTGATCCCTAGGGAAGAGGGCTAGGGAGTGGTTCTGCTCCATGTGAACTGAATTCCATAGGCTGAGACTTCTGAAAATCACCTTTGAACCACTGAAAAGTAGATGTGGTTGCAAAAGTAACCTTTGTGCAAAATGTAGCACAGTAGAGGCCAGTAGGGCCAGTGGTATGGTTGTGTGAAACATTTGCCTAGCATGTGTAAGGCTCTGGGTTTCACCCTAGCATTTCGGGTAGGGATGAATCTTCAGGGTGACCTGGAGGCTAGTTGGTAAAGTGATGAGGAGGCTGAGCACAGGTAGGTATGCAATAACCTGCTTCCTCAGGGGGGTAACACCAGTATCCACATACTCTGGGTTCCCACTGTTACCTGATCCAGTGGTATGAGGCTAAGCTGAGCAGTTGCCCCATGCCCAGTCCCACTGTGGATCTTGCCTCTGCTCTCTGCTGCCCTGCATACTGCTGAAGCTGACACCCTCACCCAAAAGCTATGGAGGCTCTTGTGTCCATGTTCCCTAAAGACATTGGGGTATGGTTCAGATGAGTCAGCCCCTTGGGCTACTGGGACTTACGTTCTAAGGTAGCACTTACGGCCAGTGGCCCAGCTTGCTAGGGATCAAGAGATATCTTTAGACCTTCATGGAATGGTGACAAATGCACTTTGGAAAAAGTGTACCTCCTTGGGTCTCTTTAGAGAGCAAGAGCAGGCACTTGTTTCTTCCATGTCTCCTGAAGTTGATCTGGCACTGTCAGGTACCCTCTTCCTGCTCCCTGCTGGAGCCTATTAAGACTTTTAAAAGTGCCTATTTGAAAAGGACACATTTTTGGCACTGGAGAGATGGCTCACAGGTTAAGAGCACTGGCTGCTCTTGCAGAGGACCTGGGTTCAGTTCCTAGCACTCACATGGTGGCTAACAACCATCCTAACTCCCAGTTCCAGGGAATCTGATGCCCTCTTTTGGCCTCTGTGGGTATTGCATGACACAAGTGCACCTACCTACATGCAGGCAATACACTCATACACATAAAAATAATAAATATAATGTTAAAAAAGAACATATTTTCTAGGAGTATGTGATCATGGCACAGCCAGCAGCCTTCTGTTGGTCTGTTGACAAAACTATTGCCCCAGCTAGAGATACACCACAGGAACAGTTGGTCTGATGCTGCTGTTTGACAGTGTCGTCAGCATTCTGGAGTTAGGAGATTGCTTGGGTCAGATGGAGGTCTTCTGCTCAGAGAGACCTGCCCCAGGCACCTAGTGAGGCAGATGTTGGGTGTGTCCTGGTGTGTCCGTGCAGGGGACAGTTGGCCTTTCTTGAGTCTTGAGTGTGGTCTGAAGTGATGAGCCTGGAGTTTGGCTGTGGATTGTGTTGCCAGTGCCTCTGGAGAGTTTTAGAATAGAAGGCTATAGCTATGTTACCCATGTTGCTGTACAATTTTAACATGAGGTATCAGCCTGAAGTCATATGACCAAGTGGCTTCCAGCATGTACTGAGGATAATGGGGCAAGGAAAGAAAATTGAAAGCCAGTGCTTTTGTGTTCTCTCTTAAGTGCTATATCCCCCTTCTCCTCCCGACGCAGGTGCCCCCATTTTATAGCACCTGGAAGTGGAACAAGGGAAGCTGACTCTCAGAAGCCACAGAGGTGGAGTCCTTAGATCCAGGATTCTAGTCCAGCCTATCTGCTGCTCACCTGAATACCTGTCCTGGCCTTAGTCAGGCACTTGGAGCACAGGCCTAACTAACTGCTTTTGTTTTCTCTCATTAGGTTTGGCCGGTACAGGTGTGAGAAAGGGACTACAGCAGTCCTCACCGAGAAAGTCACCACTCTGGAGATTGAGGTGCTAGAAGAGACTGTCCAAACAATGGACACTTCATAAATGGTGCTGGGGTGGTTGGTTTTCTCTCTGGGAAACTGGGGGCATTGGGGCTTCCCATAAAACATGCATTTGGCTACTCTTTGCCAAGTGATGCTCAATTAAAAAATAGAAAACCACAGTGAGTGGCTGTAGTGTGGGGACTGTGGGTGTATGATCGTACCCTGTGCTTGCTTCCTATTGTCTTGGGGAGCCCCTACCAAGGTGATGAGTACAGGGCAGCCTGTAAGTGGATATGGCTTAGCAGAGGGGCTTGCCCTACATGCATAAAGCCCTGAGTTCCAACCCCAGTTTGAATTCTCAGCTTGCATATGGTCAGTTCTAGAAAAGATTGGCAGGTGGAAACTTGGTTTTCCCATGGCTGTGTGAAACTGGTGAACCATACTTTGACTATTTTCGTGGCAATCAAAGGAACGTTTTGGGTGTGCTGTTTTGTAGTGATTGGCTCCTGTAGCTAGTGCATGGTAGAGACCGTGTGCTTCCTGGGGGCCCTGTTTTATTTTGGCAGATCATTCTCCTGGTATGGAAAGTGGAGTGCAGAGATCCACCTCTTTGGTTTGCAGAGGCTGTGACAGGGACACACAGTGGAGCCTCTGAGAGCCAAGGCAGAACTTGCAAAGAATCAGGAAAAGTTTCAGGTGTTAGTGCTGGACAAGAGAAGGACTTTGATCCTTCCCCAGAGCTAACATTCTGGGGTGAGCCACTGGAGACCAGCTTCTCTTGTGAAAACTGCTCTAGCTCAGGAGTGCATAGTGGAACTATTGAGGGCAGCAGCTTGGCTGATGACTGTCAGAATTACATGAGGAGCTTAAAAATATTCTGGGATTACTTGGAATGTCTGGGGCCTGACAAGTGTTTCTAAAGGCATCTCAAATTGTCGTGTGTTAGGTTTGGATCTGCAGTTCAAGAGGAAACACTGACGCCATTAAAACTATCCTTGAGTTGCTCGGCAGTTGCATCTACCCATTTTGTCTCAGACCTGGAGAATTTGATGTGAGCAGAGGCTGTGCCTGGAGTGCAGGCTCAGCTCACGGAGGGTAGAGGCCAGCCAGGGGCCTTATCCTGGTGAAGCTTTGGGCATTGAGTTCGCCCAGCAACCAGGTACACATTACCTGACAAGACACCATGGGCACTGACCTGTCACCAAGTGGGTACCACTTGGGAATTGAGTATAAGAACAAAATTGAAACTATTTCCTCCAGAGCTTGAGTTTCCTTGAATTCACATTTATAAATTAGTCTTCACAGTTAATCCTATTTGGGAACAAGAAATAAATGAACATATTTCTGCTTTTCCTACATATAATACATATAATGTTTTAATTCTTGACTGTCCATGGATTTGAGTTTCTAAAGGGATGACTGGCTATATTTTTGGATCCCCTGCTATGTGGTAGCTGGTTCTTACATCTTTGTTGTTTTGTCCTTTTAAGATAGGGTCTTCTGTAGCCCAGGCTAGTCTCAAACTCATTATGTAGCTGAGGGTCACCCTGAATTCTTGATCCTCCTGTCACTTCCAAGGTACCGAAATTATAAGCATAGGCCCCTATGCCTGACTGACTTACATCTTCTGTTTTAAATTCTGTCAGCATCCTGGAAGGTAGGTACTATATTAGTCCCATTTTACAGATGAGGAAGGCTCAGACAGACTAAAAAACCTGCCCAACATCACACTAGGAGGATGTGGAACCAGAATCTGTAAAAAAAAGCCCGAGGGCAAAGCTCTTGGGTTTTCCTTGGCACCGATGATAAAATGGGCCGCAGCATTGCAGCAGATGATGGTAGGTGGCAGGGATTCAGAAGGACAGTGAGCCAGCTGCAAGCAGAACCCTCCTGTCTCTGGGATGCCAGATGCACTTGTCTTGCAGTGCCCAGTGCTGGGTTCTCCGCAGTGTCACTTATCAAGTTAAAAACGCAGAGAAAATAGCAAAACCTCTACTCTAAACCGTATTTCCACTTTATCCCTTTAAAACAGAGTAAATGAAGCACACAGCCTGATTCTATGGAAAGATACTACGAGCTAAACTGAACGGGGTGCTAACCATTTTCAGAGGCTCACCCACACTAGTCACCCTGCTCCTGCAAGTCTCCTGTCAGTGTAGGCCTGACAGGTCTCTGAGGAACTAGCCAAAGGTTCACATTACAGTCGGTACAAGGAGCTTTGGTAGCTTTTGAGCCCCCTGCCCTTGCTAACAACTCAGCTCAGGTTGTCTGCAACAGTTCAAGGAAAGGACTTTGGAGTTTGACCATAGTATAGCCACTCTCATTCAGCTCAGCAGCAGAGGCAGCCCTCAGGAGACCGCTGAGCCCTCTGGTCTTGACTATGGGGGCTTTTCCAGGTGCCACTTGGGGAGAGGACTCAAGTAAGACAAAGTGGTGTTGGCTTGAAGAGGCACACTGAATTCAGGTGCTGGATGTCCAGACATGCATCTGTCTAGCCACCTGGTGTACGTATCCGATGTCCGGTCTCTGGTCAGGGTCAGGGTAGATACACATACTGACCAGCTCCCGAAGCTGCAATGAAGAATGGGTTCTGTTAGTCTTAACAAGCTCCTGAGCATGTTCATCTGCACCCACATGTTTCCTCCACATGGCACCTCAAAGAAGGGTCTGTTTTCCCCACTGGAGGTGAAGAGTGCTTTGCAGACATAAGGTATATGGTCACACAGCTCATAAAGGATAGCCATGACTGTCTCGTTCAAAGGCTGTGCTTTGAGACCCTGAGAGTAGTTACTTCCAAATGACCCTGAACTTTCAACTATGCACACCCTTGTGCAAATCTGTCTGAGTATGGGTACCCTGTGTGTATGTGTGTGTGCTGCCAGTCACACAGAAGCCCAAACCAGAGGACAATACTCAAGGAAAGGGCTTATTGATCATAATAAACGCATTAACATGCAGCAGGGCTACAGTCTGCACACCCCCTGGCCTCTTCATTGTGCTCATGAAAGATGGAGCTTTTAATTATACAGACACTGAAGGCTTTGCCTGCCTGAGGTGGGGGAGGGGCACCTTGAGCCTCTGATAGCCTCATGTCCTGAGCTCCTGAGCGCCAATTATTTTAATGGTAATTAAAATAATGACCTTAAAAAGCCCGTATCTTATACTCAAAATGCTGGTCTGGCTGTGATATTTTCTCTTTAAGTACCTGCTGCTGGGGGTGCTGGTGGTCACCAGCAGAAAAAGGGGCGGTGTTGGACTCAGTAACCAGAGTCGGGAAGGGGGGCAGGGATGTTCCAGAGGCCCTGGGGCTGCTATACATACCTCAGGCTTTGGGGGCCAGTCCTGGACTTCTGCAGATGAAGAGTCCCTCCCTGCACACTGAGTTGGCCATCTTGTGATCACTGCTCTATAAACACTGGGAAGCTGAGAGCAGAGGGAGTTGTACCCGCAGTGTGCTTGGCGCCCCTGGAATCCCACACAATCTCCTTTTTTTGTCCTTTTGAAACAGGGTCTGCCTGTAGTCCCAGCTGACCCGAACTCACTATGTAAACCAGGCTGGCCTCGAACTCAAAGAAATCCACCTGCCTCTGCCTCCCTAGTGCTGGGATTAAAGGCGTGTGCCACCATGCCCAGCTCTCATGCACTATTATTTTTTTTTTTTTTTTTTTTGAAGCGTACACTACTCTAGAAAGGAACTGTGGCTGACCCCTGATAGGTGAAAATAAGAAAACCAGGTCAAGGTGAAATCTGTGACCTGAAATCACTTGGGAGCAGACCATACAATTACTAGTCTGCATATTTGAAACTTCATAAGTCAAGAGAAACAATAAGTAAAATGTCTTAAGACATGGTATAACTTAAAAAGTGTAGCATATTGAGGGACCCCTGTGCTAGCAGGATCCTGGAGCTGCTGCCTGCCAGGGGTATGTGCCTGTAAAGACAGAGCAGCTGCCCTAACAGACAAAGGCTAAGAGCTGTGGGGCATTCTTTTCTGCCTTGTAACTGAAGTAGAGCTGACGGGGGGCACAGAACTGATCTACGTGGAGTTGCATGCCTTCTAAATAGTACAGAGTTCACATTTAAACAAGGCAGAATGCAAACACTTCCCCTGAGAACATAAATACTTGCCCTGGCAGTGCTGGCGAGAACTCTGTAAGCCGCTGAAGCAGATGTTGGGAAAGGAGGACACTCTTGAACTCCCCAGATTCCTGCCTTCCCCATCCTGGGGGTGGCTCTCCACACAGCCACAGGAGGGCCTATGGGCCCTCAGTGGGCTGGCTGGAGCCCACGTGTTCTGCCTAGGCTTTTCCCTTGCAAAGTGCTCTTCCTCCTAAGGCCTCAGCTTAGCTGGATGATGGGCTTTCCTTAATGGAAAGATGAGGGAAGTTTCCACAACGCAAGCGTGAATGTGAATGTATCATGAGGCAATGGCCTGGGGCCCTGCAGGGCAGGCCTGGGAAGACCTTCCTCTGACAACAGCTGATGATACTTAGCATTTTCAGCTAGACAGGACCTGTGTTACTTGTCATGGCTGCTTTTGAAGGTAGATAGATGCTAGCCTGGGTCCACTTCTACTGGTCACATGCATTACCTTAATCCTTACGATGAACCTGGACAGGAGATTCTAGTTTTGCTCCCATTTTATAGACAGAAACAGACTCAAGGTTAAGTGGCTCACTTAAGGGCAGTGAAGGGAGTGCCTGTATGCTGAGCCACTGCTGACTGGGAAACCTGTCAGGTATCTTTCACAGTTTACTTGTGAGGGAGATATAGTTAAGCCTTGTCTGTAAAAATAATGGATCTAAGGAGGATGACATTCACACAGCTAGTAACTGGCCTGGCCTTATGCCAGGCCTGTCAGTATGTCCAGAGCCTCTGCACCCATTATAAAATGTGAAAATAAAAACCCAAGGGGTGACAGGTCTGTTATAATAAGCAGACCAACCAGTCAGCCCATTGTGGTTTCCTGCCTTGAGAGCAGAACAGCAGCAGTGCTGGCCACCTTTTGCCTCCATATCTGGTTCCTGGTAGGTGAGACCGCTAGCCTGGCCTTAGGCCCCAGAGCAGCAGATCTAACGTTCACACTCACTTGAGACAGGAGCCCAGCAGGCAGCAGTGCCAGCAGCTGCATCCTCTGTCCAACCCCCATCAAGTACTTCAGAACCGCTCCTACCAGGAGCTGTGCTGGGACCTGGGCCTCACCAGGCCTGGCCCCCAGCTTCCCCACTCACCTTCTCAGAGTAGTGCTCCCCTGGGAGAGGCGGGTAGTCACACTGCTCAATCTTTTGGCAGAGGGAGAAGAGGTTCATTTTATCTCCATAGAAGGGGCTCTGGAGAGCTGCCATCTGCAAGGGGAAGGGATAGTGGGGTCAGCACCAGCCTCAAGATCCAGATGGACTCCAGAAAGGCCATTCTAGGTTGTTCTTCCCTGCAGCATGTGAGTATCCTGTGGACTTCTGGAAGCTGGGATTTTGTATGCAAAGTGGGGACTACGGTGTCCATGGCAGCACTCTAAAGGCAGCAAAGAAGGGGCTGCTGAATCATGAGGGCACATTCCCCAGCTCACTTAGACCCCCTTCTCCCAAGGACTGGCTGGTCGGGGCACAGGGATGATTGGAAGGATGTCCCACTCACCAGGCTCTGCCTGGGCTGGGCAGCTTCCCTAAGTGCCAATTTATTTTTTTCCCCTTTTTGTGTGTGGAGGTCAGAGGACAGCCTCAGGTGTCATTCCTCAGGGACACTGTCTACCTTTCCTTAGAAGCAGGGTCTCTCACTGGCCTGAAACTTACCACATAGGCCAGGCTGGCTGACCAGGGAACCTCGGAGATCAGCTTGTGTCTACGTCCCCAGTGCTGGCATTACAAATGCATGCCAACATACCCAGCTTTTTTACATGGAATCCAAGGAATCTAATTCAGGTCTTCCTGCTTTCAAGGTAAGCACTTTACTGACAGCTACCTCCCCAGCACATTTTTGTTTGTTGAGACAAGAGTCTCACTTTGAATACCTCTGTATAGCTCAGGCTGGCTCAAACTTGTGGTAATCCTCCTGCCTCAGACTCAGTGCTGTGATTACAGGTGAGTGCTGTTGGATCTGGCTTTGGCTTAATCTGTTGCTGGAACAAGTGTGGCCAGAATGATACCTTCAGGGAACATCTGAGCTCTAGGACTGGCTTTGGGAGTGGTAGGGGAGGTGGAGAGGAGATACTTCCTTTCCTGCTGTTTGTAGGCTGGCGCCCTCTGCCTCAGGGAAACTCCAGGGTGGAGAGGAGCCACTCTGCAGCCAGCTGCAGCTCTCTGGCCCTGTTCTGTGCTTGCCTTGGCTGTCTAGCCCTGTTCAGAGGTCCCAACCTACAGGGTGTAGTGGGACTCAGACGTCACTAGCCGAGGCCCTGGGCATGGGTTCCACCTTGAAGAGAAGCAGGCTGTTGGGCAATGGGAGTGACTGGGTGATGCGTGTTCTCACCCAGTGAGGGTACTTCCAGGTGAAGTATCCAGATTCCCCACCCGTGTTCAGGGCACTCATGGGGGATGAGAGGCTTCAGAGGGGATGTGCAGGAGTGTAGATGGAGATGGCCCAGCACAGCACCCGAGGGCCCCATCTGCTGATTAATCTATAATGGGATTCAGACAGCCCAGTGCCTCCTGCAAGGTAAGTGCTGCTGGACAATCATTCACCTCCATTTAGGTCTAATCCAGTTGGCCCTTCAAAGGAGCCAGGCTGCTGAGGCCTTTGCTCTGGCTCACTGGCTGAGGACCCTTGGCCCCAGTGTCTTGGCATGCCTGAGGAGTCCTCTGGACCTCATGTCTGGAGGATGGGCCAGAGAGTCCCAATCTAGAACCCAGCCGGGTAACCTGAGAAGAGAGGCTATGTGCCGGTAACTGTCAGCTTCAGTTTTCTTGCCCATCCCTTCTCCCCTGGGTAAGCTATCTGGTTATAAGAACAGAGCTTGGCACTTTCAGAAAGGCCTGGAGGCAGGGAGTGCCTACAGATCCCGTAGATGACCTCGGGGGCAGGGAGCATTGTTTTAGGGTTTCCTCGGACTAGATGCAGGAATCTCTGAGCTGTGCCAAACATCTTCAGGGAGGTGTGCAGGGCAGTGGCTAACTCTCTTCCTGTTGACTGGGGCTTGGGACCCCTGGTAGAGGTAGGGACACAACTGGCCTGGCCCATGAACAGACTGCAGTGACCGCCCGCACTTGGCAGGGTGGGGAATATGCAGACTCCCCACCCACTCCAGGCTTTGCTATCAAGCCTAAAACGGCACGGTTCACAAGGAAAACAAGAGCCTTGGTGCCAAGGGTTCACAGGCATCTTCAAAAGGGCATCTGCCACAGTACAGCTGAGGCTCCAGGGTGGCCGCTCGGTGACCTGGTGCCCTCTGAGTCATGGCTGGCAGTCTAGAGGCGCGTTCTGCAGGTGGCTTTGCTCTGGGTAGACAGGGTATTGAGTGTCATCCCTGCTATTGCTGGTCCTAGTGTTTCTTGTGTGTGACCTGGGAGAGGGACTGGATGCCCTTCAATAGGCCAACCTGATCAGATTTTCACAAACCTGGCCCTTGGTGGGACTCCAGGTGGCCCAGAAAATTGGGGTGGTAGGTGGGGGAGCCCGTTTCTGCTTTCTCTTTCAGATCTGTTCTCTCTAGCACCTTTCCCTCCTTATGCCTGATAGCCTCTCTGCACAGGGTCAGCAGTGAACCCTGCTACCAGAGCTTTGCCATCCCAAGAACGTTCTAGCAAAAGCTGCATTTCACTGTCTTCCAGCTGCCAGCCATGGGCCTACTACCCAGATAAGGACAGCCTGCTGTGAAGGAACCTGTGGGGCTGCCAGCGATGTGGAGGATAGATAGCAAGATCTCAGATGGGTGGCCCACTAGCCTCTGGCAGTTCAAAGCAGAGGACTTGCTGTTGGGGCAGATGTCTGCCTCAAGACCACCAGAGCCATGGCTTTTGGGGCGCTGAGCTTCACATGCCAAACAGCCTCCCTGGGACTTTGGGTATGACTCACAGCCCAGGAATTGAGAGTCGTGGGCTCAGAGGACCTAGGATGTGATTGAAGATCTAAGAGGGAGAAGGGGTCCTGACCAGCAAGGAAAGGACCCCAGGCATCCATCTTGTCACCCAGCATGCCCCAAGCACAGCCTGGAATGCAGGGTGACCAGAGGCGACCTGCCATGCAGTCGGAAGCCCTGTTCCCAGGCATTCTATTATTCAAGCCAGAATTCCAGAGTAGCATGCATACCAAGCAGCACTGGGCCTCCTTTGACCCACTCTTGCTGGGTCTCCATTCTAGGTGGGGCCTTGAAGCTGTGAGGAGACCCCCGAAAGGGGCTGGCACCAAGTGAGCCAATGCCTTCAGTTCTGTCCTTGGAAGCAGAACTCATACGAATAAATTCTGAAAGTCCAGGGAGCTTGCTTGGTGCCTCCCCCGGGGCATGGTAGGTGATGAAAACAAAGCACCAGGCTTTCCAAGATGACTGTGTCCAGGCAAATTCCAGGGTTCCCCAAGGCCACCAGACCTACAGAAGGCCCTCTGCAGCCTGCTCCAATTCCCTTGGCTCACCCTGGTGTCCAGCACAGTGTCGCTGGGCTGTTGGGCACTTTTATCCTGACACTGCCCTTTTCAGCATTCCACAGCACCCACCCCAGAGGCTGTATGTGACATGGTAGCATCTCACTAGCCCTGGAGCAGCATCAGCATGTAATAACCTCAGGAGAGGCTGGACGATATCTGGATCCCCAGGTTTGCAAGGTTAGAGTAGGCTCAGCGGTGGCCTCCAAAGATACCCACAATCAACTCTTGAGACCAGCAAATGCCACCTCACATGAAATGGGATTCCACAGACAGGATTAGACTCAGGATTCTGAAGTGGGCCATTATTCTGGATCATGTGATCACAAGCATCCCCAAAAGGACACAGGGGAAGTGGAGATGTGCTGCACTTGTGGAAGTGCAAGGCTGGAGTGATGGGTCAAGGTGTTTAGGTGGCCTTTCTATTTTCCACGGAAAAGACATTCACCTCTAGAACCTAATTAGTGAAGCCAATGTAGGCTTTGCCTCCAGAACCGCAGAACAAAACCACGTGGCTGAAGCACTTGGGGCCCCAGGTCAGGGTGATCTGGCATGGGTTCCTCTGGGGTTACTTGAATCCTTCGTAATGGTCAGGGGTGGGGGTAGGGGATGGGCTTTGTCTCAGTTCTTAAGGCTGCCACCATGGGAAGACACCACAGGAAGCCTAAGGGAGGCGGCAGCCGTGACTGTGGGACAGCTCTTGCCAATTACCCAGCACTGGGTCCAGATGAGGCCCCTCCCTGTCTGCTGGGAAAACATCCACTCCTCCCCCGCTGCGCTGCAGGGGTGCAGAGGGGTACCAGCCTAGGCAGAACCCGCTCTGTCATCCTTGAAGGGCCATGGTCACCACACGCACCCTCTGGGGGGGGGGGCATTTGTAGCATTACTCAGTCCTGTCCCTGTGGACAAAAGTCTCTCAAGGACCTGATGGATTTCATTGGCTTCCCATTGCCATTTACGTCTGCCTGGCTGCAAAGCACACTGCCCGTGACTAAATCAACTGGATGAGCTGAGCCCCACCACCACACAGCAAGCCACTAAGGCAGAATACCACCTCCTCAGATGTGTGTAGATGCCCAAGTCAGGCCTTAGGACAGGCCTACCTGGCTGGAAATTCAGGACCATGGTCATGGGGCTAGTGTGGATCAGGCCTAGGCTGCATCCGTCTCTGAGGAACTGTAACAAAGGCTTGGGCAGGGAACAGGACTGGTTCTTGAGCAAAGCCCTGGCAGGAGCAGACGGAGCCAGCTGTCATCCCCCGCCCCTCTGCCGGCCCTGGGGAGATGCACACAGCTCTCCTCCAGTCTGGCTAGTCTGTGTTTAGAGACCCTCGAGGCTCTTAGGGGGCAGGAAGCAGCTTCCGAAAACACACAACACAGAATGGAAAAAAAAAAAAAAAGGAAAAACCATCTGGTCTGCGGGCAGTATATGTGAGAAGAGGACAAAGGGGAGTCCCTCTGTGAGGACTCACACTGGGCTGTGCCCAGGCCTCCTGTTGGCCAAAGCAAAAGGAAATGTGGCAAGCTGCTGGGCTCTCACCTCCAAAGGCTGGCAGCAAATGCCAGCTGCTCAGCTTGTACGGGGTCAGTGGGTTCATGGATAGGCCTGAGTGCCTGCTCTGAGCTGGGTACCTCAACACAGGGCCTTATTTACTTATGTGGTCTGAATGAGAAATGTCCCCCACAGCCTCATGTATTTGAATACTTGGTCCCTGGTTAGTGCTGCTGTTTGGGGAGGTTTAGGGAGCTTGTAGGAGGTGTGGCCTTGCTGGAGGAAGTACATCCCTGGGGCCGGCTTTGAGAGTTTATAGCTGTGCCCCACTTCAAGCTTCCTGTTCTGTGGCCATGCCCCCCACTTAATGTCATGCCCCCACCTCCACCATGATGGACTCCTAGCCCTCAGGAACTGTAAGCCAAAACACACTTTTCTTCCAAAATTTGCTTTTTGTTGCCCTACAAGGCAGGCAGGCTGACTCCCATACCACATGCTGGGCAACTAGAACCAATGGGGCAGTGGTTTACTCATCCCAACCTTGGGGTAATGCTGGTGCTGGGACTTAGGGCTTGGGTCCTTCTACCTAGTTGGGGCTCCTGCCAGACACCACATCTCTCCCCCAGGAGGTCTAGTGGTGAGAATTTTGTTACCTACTTATAAACATGAAGTCAAAATTGCACACTTACTGATCTCACACTATAAGTGTTTGCTTGGGCTTTGGGAGTCCCCCCTCAGGACCTCACACCATGTGTGAGGCCCTCTTAGGAGGCCCTGGATCCTCTCCTTTGACCTCAGGCCTCCATCAGGGGCTTATTAAAGGTTTCACAAGTGATGCCCGAGTATCCTGAAGGGACAGCTTGCCTGACTGCTGCTGACCTGAACTGCCCACAGACTTTTGCAACCCTGCCACAAAGGTATCCTTTCCAGCCAAGCTTTTAGAATGCATCTTGGGCTGGGGTGCGGCACTGGCAGCGTTTTCCTAGCACATGTGAGGCTCTGCTTCCATCCACTGCACCACAAGAAAGAAAAACTCTAATGAATGGCAAGCTCCTGGCTCAAAAAGAAAGACAGTATACACTCTTACACTTCATAAAGAGAATGGAGCGTTGACCTCACACAGTTCATCCAGGAGGCTGGGGTTTCACTGCCAAAGGACCCCAACCATGAGAGTTGCCATAGGCCCCATGTAGAGCAGTAGTGGACAGCGTGTTCCTGCAGCTTACACAGGAGAGCCATGGGGGCTGCCCCCACAAGGCCAGGGAACTTGTTTCTTCAGATAAAGTCCCAGGACACTTTACTGAGTGACACTGCTGTGGCACTTCCCCAGACATGTCAGCTTAATTAATAATGAGGTTCTTTGGGCTTGCCAGTCAGTGCCCAGCCAGACCCCACATCAGATCCAGAGGAACAGAAGGCAGGGTTCCTGTCCGAACCCCAAAGTCCTTGCCTATCTGTTACCTATAATATCAGGGGTCCCATGATATTGATAGATGACTATTATTCCCATTTCACAGATGGGGAGACCAAGGCTCAGTGGAGGGACTCCAGCAGTGGGTCCCAGCAGGCCAGTAGAAAGGCTTGGTGACCAATATGGAGACACCAGATGGCTCAGGACTGTTGGTGGTTGTGGCAGATTTCTGGCCAAGATGGCCCATGCTCCCCACAGCCCCATTTTCAGGACCCATCCATCATGGCTGGTCAAGATGGACAGAGCTCCATTTATTTACCTTGCCTCACATCTGAGCCCACCAAGACTCATCAGTCCTGTCCCTGGCTCCCAGCTGGCTGCCAGATCTGTAAATTGCCATCAATGGCTCTGTTTCAGTTGGGATGGGCAGAGGTCTTCAGGGAGACCCATGCTGCTGCTTAGAAGAACAAGACATCCACTTTGGGTAACACAGGCATGGTCAGACCTGACTCCTCACCTGTCCCCAGTGCCTGTGTGGGGCCTCATCTACCCATGAATAATGTGCAAATGTGATTACTGAGGAAAGTGGGAAGGGGCCATGGGAATCTGGATACTGTGGTCTGGGTAGCTAGCTGCCCTGCTGGTACTCCCTCTGCTCTCAGTCTATCACCTTCCCAGAGCCCAGTAGCCCACCCCTCCAGCAATCACTGGCTGGATTATGTTACCCAGGCCACGTACCATGCTACCCAGGCCACATCAGCTAGGGGTGGGGGGGAGACAGGGATAGGTCCCCAAGGGTCCTGATGTTCCAGGTGGACACATGTGGCCCTGGTGTAACCATCCCCTCTCCACGTTGGTAGGGTGAGCCCATCCCACCTGTGCCCCCAATGGAGGTCCACAGACACCACCCGGCTACAGGTCAGAAGCTCACCTCATATAGCAGACAGCCTAGGGACCAGATGTCAGACTTGAAATTGTAGCCGTTCTCATGGATCCTCTCGGGTGACATATAGTACGGTGTTCCCACTGCAACACAGCAAGGGTTTGGGCTTAGGGTCCAGGCCTAGGTGGGGCAGGCACAGGGGCTCAGGGAGGGGCAGGGCTGTCCTGTTCTCCATCAGCCGACAGGACTGACCAGACTGAAGGGTGACTATGTTACTAGGACTTGAAATATACATGAGTTCCAAGAACCTTAAAGTGAATTCCCAGGACATCCCCCCTCCCCCTGATCTGAGGATTGGTCTAGGGCTGGACAGCCAGGATTTGGTGTGAATGCCCATTGCAGGGAATGGGAAGCAAGTGATCAATGTTCTTTAGATGACAGTATGCATCTGAAGAGTCCAGAACAGGCTTTCAACAAGGAAACGAGTGGGAACAGTCACTGTCTAGATGAACCAAGCCATTCACATGCTCTTCCTCATGTTCCCAGAGTCCCAGGACAGGAAAATGAGGCTCAGATAGGTCAAGGGGCTCACAGAAAAGGGAAGATTCATTAAAACAAACAACTTCATGATGATGAGGACCTTGAGTTCAAAGACACCATTCAAAGCTAACCTGTAAGCCAGGGATTGGGAGAAAATCGTCTCAGTGCAGACCTGAGGTGGACTGAAGCCTAAGGATCTGAGTGGATCTGAGGTCACATGCTAATGGTCCCCAGCTGGAGTCGGGGCCTGGTTGGAGGAAGTAGGCTGTTATCTCTGTCCATTTCCTGGCCACCATGAAGGGAACAGCTTGGCTCTGCCTCACTTCAAGCCTACAGCAACGTGGCCACATAGCCATGGACCAAGATCTCTGAAACCATGAACCTAAATACAGCTTCCCTCCTTTAAGCAGATTTTTCTTTTTTCTTTCTCTCTCTCTCTCTCTTTTTTTTGGGGGGGGGTGTCTTGTCTTTTTGAGGCAAGGTCTCCCTATAGCCCCAGCTCACAGGTAGCCTGGAACTCACTGTGTAGACCAGGTTGGCCTTGATCTCACAGAGATCTGCCTGCTTCTGCCTCGCGAGTGCTGACTACCACACCTGGCTTTGTTTTTGCTTTTTTGAGGCAGAGTCTCACTTTCCAGCCTCCGCTTTTTGAGGCAGAGATCTACCTGTGTCTGCCTCTTGAGTGCTGAGATTAAACACGTGAGCCACCACCGTACCCAGCTTGGAGGGGGGAGTGTATTCAGCACAGTGGTAGAAAGCTAGCACACAGAACATATTTATTTCTATTTTGTGCAATTTAGGATGGAAACTAGGGCATCAAACATACTAATAGAGTCCTACCACCAAGCTCCATGCTTAGTTCCAAGAACATATATGCACATGCATGCATGCATATAGTTTATATTTTTTATACTTTTTTATATATTTAATTTTTCAGATAGGATCTCACTATGCAGTCTCGAACAAGGCTTGAGCTTGAAATCCTCCTGCCTCAGCTTCCTGCATGCTGGGATTACAGGCATGTGCCACTATGGCCAGCTCCTCAGAATCTTATTTTAAGATTTCTATAAATCAATAAAGACAACAATGACTCCCTCAGTGAACAGAGAGCAGAGCTGCATGGCCAAGAAGCAGAAGGAACAAAACTGTCTTTCTCAGTACTTGGTAGGGAAGCACAAAATGCAAGGTCCGATACTCGCTACCTTAAGGGTTAATGATAAACCATAGCAGAGCAGGTGGTCATGTGGAGCAGTGGCACCCAGCGCTGCTGGGGGTGTATCACGGCTGAGCACCTTGAAAACCACCCTGAAACGTCTACAAAAGTGGGCATGTCCACTGCAGTGACCCAGGCAGCCCACTCCAAGATGGATTCCCAAATGAACAGGAATTCTCTCAAAAGACCTGATCAAGAACATGTGGAGGGGCTCTATCTGTAACTGCCCCAAATTGGAAACAAATGTCAATTGTAGTGGGTAAATTTTTAAAAAATATTTTATTTTTTATTTTATGTGTATGAGTGTATTGCCTGCATATATGTGAGTGCACCCGTGTCATGCTATGCTGTAGAGGTCAGAAGAGGGCTTTGGATTCCCCTGGAACTGGAGTTAAGGATGGTTCGTAGCCACCATATGGGTGCTGGGAATCGAACCCAGGTCCTCTGCAAGAACAGTCAGTGCTCTTAACTGCTGAGCCATCTCTCCAGCCCCATAGTGGGTAAATTTTAAGTGGTGAGTGGTGATCTGTTTACAAAACAGAATACTATACAGCAACAAAAGGTCAAACCCCAGGTGCATGTAGCCAAACAGATCTATTTCACAGATATAACATTGAGTGACAGAAGCCAGGTAGGGAAGAGCATGCACTATTTAAAGACAGGAAATACTATACTACCTGTGGGGACAGTCTCTCTCTCTCTCTCTCTCTCTCTCTCTCTCTCTTGCTCGCTTACTCTTGCTCTCCCTCTCTCCTTCTCTCTCCTCATCTCTGTGTGTGTGTGTGTGTGTGTGTGTGTGTGTGTGTGTGTGTGTGTGTGTAGCTCAACTCAGTTATAAAGAGAAAAAGGTTTCCAATGGTGAGGGTGGGGCTCAGCTGTCAAGAGGAAAGTCAAATACCTGTGGGGACTCTCATGGCCTGTCCTCCCCTCCTCCCCAGAAAAGGCCAACACCCAGCACACCTGAGAAAAGCATGCTCTGGCCTTGCAGTCCTTGCACAGCTGTCTCTGAACACTTCTGAAGTGAATGCGTGAAGAGAGAGTTCCTGAGATTAACTCTCACATTGTCTACCCATGGGAGCCCATTCACACATTTCTCTGACCATCTACCTGCCCTAACTGGCACTAACTAGGCAGGTATGGGGTGGGCCAGGAATCTGCATCTGTAATCTGACATTATGCTGTTGGACACAGGAGGAGAAGGAGGACTGTCTGCAGGCTTGAGGATGAGATTATTTATTTATATTTACTTTTTTACATTTATTCATTGAGGGGAGGGGCGTTTGAGTCAAGGCACATCTGTGGATGTCAGAGGACAACTTGTGTGGGATTCAATTCTCTGTCCACTATATGGGTCCTGGAGGTTGAACTCAGGTCATTAGGTGTGACAGCAAGCACCTTTACCCACTGAGCCACCTCAGCACCCCAGAGGATGAGATTTTTTAAACACTGCTGGGGGCAGGGGTTTCACTAGCCTGGAGACACCATGCCACAAGATGCTGGCTGCTGTTGTAACCAGATCTGTGGAGGTACTAGAGTCTAGAGTTGTAGAGAAGCTGCGTGTCAAATGTTCCTATGACCCTGGAAAAGGGGCCCCAGTGCCAAGGGACCCTGGGGGAAGAACAGGCTGCTCAGGTGACAGGGAGGTGACAGGCCCAGGCAAACAGGCTGGGTAACTTGTTAGAAAAATAACAAAACCTGTCTGGTCCCAGCCTGAGTCCTTCACCCCAAACCACCTCCAGCTGATTGTCTATTCTCCTCTGAGCTCTGCCCCTGCTCCTCTGTCTCTGCCCTGGGGACCTGTCGCCACCTTTACCCTGTTGGGGACCTGCCACCACCTATGGTGACAGCAGGGGCACTCCAGGAGAGGAAGGGGAAGTGCCGCCAGCCGCCTCCCTGCTGCTCTTCTGCTTCGCTGTGTAAATGTGGAGCCTCATTCTGCCTCTGGTGTTTTGTTTTGTTTTGTTTTTTTGGGACAAAGTCTGATCTAGGACTCACTAAGTAAACCAGGCTGGCCTGGAACTCACAGAGCTCTGCCTGCCTCTGAACTTCCTTCTTCTTCCTCGTCCTCTTTTTTTTTTTTTAACCCAGTACTAGTACCATGCTGGTGCTTCATGGCTGAATTATACTTCCAGTCCTTGATTTTGTGACTCAACATCTCACTAGGCAACCTGAACTTGTGATCCTTCTGCCTCCACTAGAATTATAGGTGTCAACTGCTATACCCAGGAAGGGACTTTCTTTCAAGATGCCAGTATTGTGAGAGGCCTCCCATCCATGATCCATCCCTCTGTCTATCCACCCTCACATTGTCTGCCCATGGGAACCCATTCACACATTTTTCTGACCATCCACCTGCCCACCTGTGAAATCCACTCAGTATTGGTGGAGCCCTGGTGCTGTGCTGGCCCTGTGCTGGATGGAGGTCAGAGTTGCCTTTCCCAGGAGGAGGCCAGCAGGGGACAGCTAACCATTGGAGATAAGGATGTGCCTGCACTGAGCAGAGGCCCTGGCCATCGCCACCAGGAAGGACTTTAGTAAAGGTCTGGCTACCCAACCCTATCCAGACCTGGAGATAAGAATCTCTGGGGCTGGAACTTGGCCACTTGCCCCCTCTCTCAAGCTCCTGGGCACATGGTATGAATGTTACTGTCTGAGAGTAGCTGATAAGCCTTGTTAATCCACCTGTTCTGTTTTTCAGATGCTCAGTGAGTGAAACCAAATGAATCATGACTGTTAGCTGAGGGCAGTTTGGCCTATCCTGCAGAGCTCTGGGCCCTCTAGATCCCTGACCCAGGGGAGGGGCTGCTTCCTCATGGTCTGTGTCCCTTAAAGGTGGGGTAATATGCTCCCTGAGGTGGAGACTGCACAACTTTTGCCAGGGGACTGTGAAGCCACAGAAGTGAACACAGCACCTCTTCTTCACATACCAGTTTTATCTGGGAATAAGTCATGTAAAATTTGAATTTTCTGCCAACAACACACACAGAGACGGAATGAATCATGCCTTACTTGCATGTAAAGATGAAATAAGAGACTTCAAAAAACCCTAGGCTTGCAGTAGGCTACTGGAGGATGTGTCTCCAGATGCCAGGAAATGGTGATTCTGGGGGACACTGGGAGCAACAGGCAGGAGGGGTTGTCTCCATGAACAGTGGTCCTACCCCAGGGACACAGCCCACCTTGTGCCAACCTGTCTTACAGCATTGCCAGGTACAGCGGCACAGCTGGCCCTGCCTGGTCTCAGTCCCTCCTACAGCATCCCTGGACCCTTCCTCCAGTGGGGGGATGGAGCTACATGTATGAAAGAGGAGGCTACCCAACCCTGACCTTCACTGAAGCTTTACCTAGATAGGGATTTCAAACCTGGCAGAAATCAGAGGAGAACATGGACCTCAAAGAGGGAGGTTGATTAAAGAGTCCTTCCCCAGGATGTACCACTACTGTCAAAATACACTTGGCCATGTTTTGAAATGTTCACTGTGTTTGAAACATGTTCCTAAGATATGAAAAAGGCAGATTTCACATGAGGGAGAGCTAGGTGCCTGCGAGCTGCCCCTTTCCCACATGGCACTTCTGTATACACCTGGAGGAGTCGGTTGGAGCATCATTCTTTGGGTGCGGGCTGAAAGTCTAGATTCCAGGGTGGACAGCACAACAGGCAGGGTTGTGAAAACTGCCTGAACTAGAGCTGGACCCACTGGGATGACCTGCTCAGGTCACTCTAGCCAACAACTCTGTCTCTACTCTGATTTCCCCATCAGTAACAACCCCACCCCCAAACAAGTATCCTGGGGGTGTCTGGCTGTGTGGTGGACCACACATCGTCACAGCACAGTGTAGTCACACACATGGTCACATGCATGGCAGCACTGGCACCAAGAAAGGAGATGAGCTCCACCCCTCCCCCTGCCTCTCCACTCCTTTTCTGGGCATCCAGGATCCAAGCCCACCTCCCACCACACTGTGGGCTGGCTGGCACTTCTCTGAAGATCACTTGGACATAGAGTGGCTCCTGGCCCAGCTGCTGGGTGACACTGGGGTGTAGCCTCACCTCTTTCAGCCTGTTTTCTCCTTAGTGGGAACAAAAGGCATGAATGTGATGCTTTCCAGAAAACTAAAAGGGTTTAAGTATTCTTAAATTTAAATTTAAATCAAGCATTTTAAGCCCTGCTCTCTTTGTTGACTGAACACGGTAAGTACATGGTAAGTTGACTGAACACAGAAGTACAGGCTCTGGAGGGGCTGAGGCAGCTGTAGACCCTGGGTGACCCTGCATGATCTTAGGGGATCCTGGATTCCTCCAGCTGCAGTTTAGATTCTTGCAGTCAGCACCTACCTGTATACATCTGGGAAAGGGTTTCAACTGTCCCATCACCAGGCTACCCAGGGCTGGCTGACTGTCTCTCTGCCAACTCCCTGGGATCCCTTGAAGGCAGAGAATCCTGCCAAATCACATTCCAGCATGGCTCAGAGATGGAGAATAAGTCTGGAAGCCCATGTCCTGGGGAGGAGCAGTATGCCCTGACTGCTTGTCACTAATGGGGTTGTACCTAACTGGCCTTGCTCCTCAAGAGAACCCAGTCCCAGAGAGACTACAGCCCTACAAGGGCCCCGGACATGAGTGGCCTCCCTTCTTGCCCTGTCCAGTCTCAGCCTGAGGCGCCCTGTCACCACTGCCAAGGGAAGGGCCTGTGTTCCTGCTTTCTAGCCCCACCATTTGTCTTGCAGCTGCTGCCGTTGCTCCAAGCGAGACACTTGCTTGTAGCTTGTGAGCTGTGTATAGGCAAATCTTTCATTTTTCTTTCATCATGCCGGCGTGTACTGTCACTTAATTTTTATGTATGCAATCCTTCCTGACAAATATGATCTGCTGCCTGGTAATTCGTCTGACGCTCATTCTGTTCCGAGCTCTAATTACGGCTCCTATTCCTGACACCGAGGCAGCCACTCTGCCACCGCTGGGTACTGCACCTGTCAGCCCAACCATGGCACTGACTAATGCCCTTTCATGCCAGTCTTGTGTTAGCAAATACAGGCTCGGGGAGGGGCTGAAGGGGGCGGGGAGGAGACTGGATTTGCATAAGCCTGGCTCCCAGGTCAACAGCCTTAGGAGATGAGGTGGTTTCTGGGGCATCGTGGCTGATGCCACAGCATCTCCACATAGTAGGTATGCATTAGATGCAGAAGATGCATAATTCATAGCCACACACAGTGTGTGAAGGGCCCCTGCATCCTTTCTGTGTCATGGTGTGATGGCAATTAGTTCCATCCCTTGCCCACCAGACTTGTGTGCAGAACCTGGTGGTGGAAGAATGCTTCCCCCTGGGTCTTGGAGACTCCTGATCCTGGGCTATGGCTCTGGGCTGTCACCTTCTAGAGCTGTGGTGGGTACAGAGGAGAGGCCTTGGCTCCAGGAGCTGGTCCAGCAAGCAGTGCCTTGTGGAGCCCCACCTCAGTTCCATGGTGCCTTCTGGACTCCAGGCACATGGCTTGGGGCAGGGATGGCCTGGCAAGGCAGCTTCCACCCATGTTGTAGCATGTTTTGTGCTCAGAGGCCTTGGGAGGCACTGGACTCATGGGGGTAGCCTCTTCCAAGTCCCATTCCTAATATAATAAGTGCAGCAGTCCGAGTGGATAAAATCACACTGTCAGAGGAGCTGGGGCTCTGTCGTCCCTAATGAGGCGATCCTAACCGGCTCTGACGAGCACTGTGGCCATCTTTTCCATAGCAGGACAGAGCGGGACGCAGACCTGACTGACAGGCTTAGGAGGCAGCGCCTTCGCTCTTTACTGACAGTTGTCCTCTGAGTTCCAGCCTTTTGCAAACTCTTAAGCTGAATAGGGGCTGGGGTGCAGATCAGGGGTGTAGCACTTGCCTACATGCAGGAGGCCCTGGGTTCCACCACCCCACACCGCAAAGAAAAAGCATCCCAAATGGGCTGGAAAAGCCAAGACTTCCTTCTAGTCATGGGGTCAGCATTTGGGGATCCCAGAGGGAGACCCTCAGTTCTGGCCTTCTAGACGATGCCTAGGCTCTGACAGGCCAGGACTGAGGGTCTTAGCGCCGCAACTTTGGCTTAGAGGGACACTATGTGATCTCAAAATCACTCAAACTCCCTGGATTCAGATCCCAGGATCCCGTGGACCCTGAAGGGTAGTAGAGGTGTGACAGAACATCCTTAAGTCCCTGTACAGCCTCTCCTCTGGAGCCAAGGGAGAAACCAAGCCAGGTGTCCCCACACTCCTTGAAGCAACTGCTTTATTTCTCCTAAGAGCATGCCTCTAGCTGAGTCTGAGCCATCATGACCTGGATGAACAGCAGCAGTTTTCAGAGGGAAGTGTCTTCTAGAAAGCACCTCTGCCGCCACCAGAAGCTGCTGTTGGCACACAGCGGGCTGCAGGTGCCCAGGTGTGGGAGGGGTGGGAGATAGCCAGGCTGGAGCTACCAAGTGGGGTGGGAATGAAGGGACAAGAGCATTTTTTTTCTGGGAGGCAGCCATAGCAGGCTGGGCCAGCTCCCTCCTGCCTCCCCTAGGTCTAGGCAGCATGGGGGATGCTGGGAACTAGCTGGAGGAGAAGCAGGTAACCCCCTATCCCCATGGCTACCTGGAAAAACACTGCTGTGCCTGGTCTAACTGCACAGAACACCTTCTCCTTGTCCCAATGGCTGAATAGACTCTATCTTCATCACTCAAGGGTCACACTCTTACTAAACATCAGCACACGGATTCTGAAGCTAGCACAGCTCCACCTGACTCAAAGTTTATCTGTGTCTCTTTTCTCTTCCCTCAGCAGTTGCAATCCCAAGATGGCTGGAGCCCTCCCCATTCCCCAGCTTCCACCCCAAGCACCCCGCTCCATGGCATCAAGGCCTGTACTAAGCCACTGCTTAGCCACATACTGAGCTTACAGTTCCCTCAATTAGTCGTCGTTCACTCTTGGCTTGACTACCTGCTCCTTTTCTCTGTCCGCAATCCAGCCACCCAACCCAGACCTCCAAACCTGTTTCTCCACAACTCCAAATAGGACAGCTTAAAGGTCTACCTGGGCAATAGGCCACAGGTCAAACAGGGCACAGCAAAAAGGACCACAAAGTAGGCAGACACAGCCGTCTTTATATGGCAGGTTCTATCAGCCTTCCAGGAAGGGCTCAGGAAGGCTTCCTGTGGCTCTCCCTGGTCTGTTTCCTCTCCTCTGGGTTTGTACTGAGGCACAAGGGAACTCTTAGGCTCAAAAAAGCATTTTCTCGCCGGGCGTGGTGGCGCACACCTTTAATCCCAGCAGAGGGAGGCGGGTCTCTGTGAGTTCAAGGCCAGCCTGGTCTACATAGTGAGTTCCAGGACAGCTGGGGCTATAGGGAGACCCTGTCTCAAAAAGACAAAAAAAAAAGCATTTTCTCTGCACTATACACACATCCCCAGGAGAATGCCTGCCCCTCCACACAGGTCACACGGGCCTGCCAGGGCTGCATAGGGCGCAGTCCTCTTACCTAGTGAGTGGGCAGCAGTGGTCTCCGAGCTGAAGAAACGGCCCAAACCAAGGTCACCAAGCTTCACGATGCCTGTGGCTGTGATGAACACATTGGCGGGCTTGATGTCTGCCGGAAGATGACATAGGGTTGGTGTGGGGAAAGCAGGTTTAGGAGGGACAGGTGGGGACAGGAGGAAGCAGGAGGCCTGGGAGTGACCAAGGAGGACCTTTTGGTGATGGGCAGTTCTTCACTCAGGGAAGGACAACTCCTTCTAAGAAATCAAAGCCCACAGGATGGTTTTCTCCTCGGGGATGCTTTCCTGGCTTGGCCTACGAGCACTGTGGAACCTTGGGACAGTTGTCATCACTCCCCAAGCCTTGTTTTCCTCACCTGTAACATGAGTCCATCTTCCCTTACTGCATAGGGCAGCTGTGAGTGGGCAGAGATTTCTGTGCTACTGTTTACTTTTATACACTCACCTCCCCTGTGCCAAGAAGACTGTCTAGCACACAGTGGACACTCTGATAGTCATGTAACAATGCCGAGGCTGTGCTGTATCCCAGTAACTAGGGCAGTACCTCGCATACAGGTGATGCCCACAGAACAGGCAGAGGGGATCAATAAAGACATCAGTGAAGCCAGCTTCCAACAGGCTCCTGCTTAAACACCTCTAGAAACACTCATTCATGTGTTTTACCTCATGTTGTGGGCATTGCTCAGCCACCTCCTACTAAGATGTCAAAACCCACAGGAAATTCCCCTTCTCTGGGCAAAGCTGGCATGAGCACTGGAACTGGCTATACCTGGGCTACCTGTGCTGGCTCCAGCTGGTGTCTGGGACTAGAGACAGAGTGCTGAGGTGGCTTCCAGTCCCTGAAGCTTTTGTAACTATCTAGCATCAGGTGGTCCCCTTGCCTCCATGGGAGTTTCCTGACATGAATCAGGCGTGTGCGCAGCTGTTGGACACCCTTCTGCTTGGGGAACACAAGTGGCCTAACTTGCTAACAGGACAGCTTCTGAGGAGCCTGGGGAAGCTCAGTGCTGGGGTCCCAGGGCCCACAAGGCACGCACCTCGGTGCATCACGCGGCGGGAGTGCATGTGCTCCACGGCGCTGCAAAGCTGCACGAAGTACTTCCACACTGTCCTCTCAGGAATGAGCCTCTTCTGCTTCTTAAAATACTGTGGGGGTGACAAACAGACAGGCCTGGGTGAGCAGGCTTCTGGGAGGGGTAACAGGGTCCTTGCCTCAGCAGAGGCTGAGCAAATGACACGAGGCCAGAATGCTGTAGCCACACCTCACTTCAGCCCAAGAGAACTCTGGACCCCAGATGAGCTCTGCGTGGTGAGGGTGGCACCTGGCCCAGAGTGGTCCCCTAGGAAGGGGACCTGATCTGCCTGAGGGGGCTCAGACTCCTGCCCCAACCCTGGCCTGGTGTGGGAGAACACCACAGCCATGCCTGACAGCTACGGTTGTCCCTGTGTCCTCAGTCAGCCAAGTCTTGATGTCATGTGACTACTGACTACCTGGGAACCTCGAGGAGATGAGCTTAACATTCTCAAATGGACCCTTGGTTTCAACAGACATTAATCTGCCTCCTTGCCTGGAAACACATATTCAATGCTCCAGGAAAAAAGAAAGGGAAAAAAAAAGGAGCAAAAACCAAAACCCCCAGGCTGCTGAGAGAACTGAAGGTGACAGGAGGTTCAGGAGGAAGCATGCAAGAACACATCCTGAGGTACAGTTCAGATAGCAGCGTGTGATGTTGTGGGGAGCTCCTAGGTGCAGAATCTATGGTGGAGTGGAGTGATGGCTGGCCATCCCAGGTAGCAGGCTGTATTTCTGGTCTTCCCTGGCAGAGTAGCTGTGTTTCCCTAAAGCTGCCAGAGGTGGCGCTGTCGCCCGTAGTCAAGCAGCTGCTCTAGTACAGGAAGCCCGGAGCTACCTGTACCTGCCCCACCAGGGAAGGACAGCCTGTACTCACACTGTTGTTCACATAAGTCAGGGAAAATGAAGACACTGAGGGCCACAAAGTGAGGGTTGGTGAAGCCTTCTGAGCTCTTTATTGCATCTAATAACACTCAGAACCTGTGATGGAGACAGTACCCAGAGAGGTTCAGACACACACTCAAGGCTAACCGGTGGGATCCAGAGCTGGGCACTTCCAGAAGCAGGGCAGTGATGGCTGGCAGCTGCTGGCCTGGAAGTAAAGCCCCTTGAGGCTATCCTGAGGCCCCTTCTAGAAGGAGCTGGTGGGCTAGCTGTCCTGGGCTCCCAGAAGACCCCTGCTCTGGGCCACCCTGGGGCCCGCTGTGGCGGGCTGGATGGGCTGTTATTTACGCCATAATGTTATTTGGTCCTCATTACAGTGTTTACATGGGGATGCGTGCAGCCGAGAGCAGTGATTTTCTAAATGTCACATTCTATAAGCGCCAGCTGACATTTCGTAGGAAGGCGCCAGAGTCTCTGGTGGGTTGTGGGCAGTGGTAGCTCTGGGCTTCACCAGCCCTGTAAATAACATCAGCACTGTGGCTGCCTGGCCCCGGAGGCTGCAAACCCTCAGGACACAGGCCCTGCGGACCAGAGACCCAAGGCCAGGGGACCACTGTGGTTGGTGTGGCCCCAAGTTGGGGGTGGAAAGGTTGGGTTTCTCTGGAAACCTAGAGAGGCTGAGTGAGAAAGTGTGTAGTAACAGGCACTAAGCACTGAAACTGGGTACAAGGACCTGCCCACAGCCATCCCAGCCGTGTCCAACCAGGCACTGCCCTGCGTCCCCTGCTGGCCGGGGCTGCAACTATCCCAGGCCTGCCTGTGGGGAACCCTGTACTGTCAGCTGCCAGATGAAGGGACAGGGGCAGGCAGGGAGGGAGGGAAAGAGAGGCACCATCCAGGAGAGATGGAGGCTGGGGCTGGGGCAGACACTGCAGCCCACACTGCCTGGCCTCAGTTCTGGCAGGAGCCTGATCCACTTGAACCTGACCCAGGGCTCATGGGTAGGAAGGCTGGCTGGGAAGTTGCTGGGTCAGGAGTGCTGGCCACCCTCTTCTAGCTTGAACTAGTTGACCCAGGGGTAGACACTGGAGCTCTGGGAGGGAAGCATCTACCTAGCATACTGTCTCCAGGATGAGCGGTCACAAGGATGAGAGGTCACAATGTGGTCTGAGGTTTGTGGGCTCAAGGACTGTGGAGGGTAGGGAGGGGCTCCAGCTCTTGCTGCTACTCCGTCTCCATCTGACCCTCTGCTTGACACCCAGTCTTCCAAACCCAAGGCTCACTGCATCTGTTCCCTCTAGGAGTCTTAGGAAGCTCCTGTTACCTTGGGGCACAGCCCCGAATCAGGAGCCTGGATTGAGAGGCTCAGTGTGATCCTGTGGTCCCCACTCCACCTGCTGTTCTTGTTAGACCACAGTGTAGCTCACCCCTCCTGGGTGCTTGCCCAGCTCTTCTTACCTCTACACTCCCTGTCTGCTCTGAGGTCACAGCTCGGGGGTCACCTCCAGGAAGCCTCCCCCGATTTCCATAGGTCTGACATTGCTCTAGGGCCTGCCTTCCAGGTAGAATTCACTTTCCTAAGGGCATTGCTGGCAACAGTGGCACCCCACAGTTTTGGTAAGGCTGGCGTGTGGTGGGAGGGTAGAGAGCTGTATGTATGGGGGAGAGGAGATGACAAGTGAAGGAGAAACTAGTGAAGGGGCCCAAGACATGATATAGCACGTCTGTTCCCACCAGGGATCTGAGTGGAGATTAACATCCCTGCAAATGCATTAATATGTCAACAGAAATATAAAAGCAGATGATAACGGCTCAGTAATGCGCTTCCCAGCGACACCATATTCCTAGGGGCCGAATTTCAGAAGAGCAAGTGCCGAACAATTGCTCAGTCCCCGGTGCCTGCTGGGAAGGCAGAATCTATGTCAGCCCATTTCCATGTATGGTTGGGAGCTGGGGGCTTGAATGTGGCCTGGCCTCGCTCAGGGCAGATAGTCTGGGTTCAGGAGAGGCAGGTAATGGGAGTTCATCCAATCTAGGGGTCTGAAGATGGGGGTTCACAGCAGCAGGGACAGGAGGGCCTTGAGGGAGGGGCAAGGATCAGAGGCTATGGATAAGGCTCTTCCACTCATAGGCTATCCTGCCTTTGGCAGTGCTAAACCTCTCTGAGCTTTGCTGAGAAGTGTGTGGGCTCAGTGATGCTGTTTAAGTGTGCTTAGTATGGCAGTGGCTGATGGTAACATTCTATCAATGGAGCTGCCATGTTCCTGCCACCTAACCCATGGTAGACTGGCTTCTGGGCCTTGGGAGGGGGACAAGGTAGCTTGAGGAGGGGGTCAGGGTTCAGATCTGGCACTGAGCTTGCCTATGTGGCTCACAGTTGCTCATCCTCTCACAGACTAGGCCTGGAGTCCTCACTACATAGAAATGAAGATTTCACCTGTCCTAGGGCTGGGGAGGTCATCTTGGGGACAATGTCCTCTGAGCAGTCTCAGCCCAGGTAAGACAGAGACTTGGGCCACAGGCATGGTCCCACGTTCTGAGTGTTCTCAGGTAAGATAACCTGTCTGGGCTCCAGTTTCCCTTATTGTAGAGTGAGGGAGTGTAACCACAGGACACGGTTCCCCAATCCCTGAGCTTGGGGTCTGACCTTTGGGGGTACTGTCCATCTGTCCCTGTTTCTTCTGCAGGGAGAAGTGCCCTGGGTGGGCTGGGGCTGCTGGGGTCTCTTCTATGATGGTGGTCCTTTCCCAGCCACCATCCTGTCTAGTCTTGCTGAGCTTTGTGCACCTGCCTGAGTCTGGCAGGAAGACAAGGGGACAACACACAAGTGCTAGGGGTAGATCCAGGCCAGGGCTGAGGCCACAAAATGGGGGAGCACATGCAGGCTGAGTGGAGACTGTCCCAGCAGGCGCTGACCTTGATCATCTGTGACAGGTCACCCGCGTCGGCCAGCTCCAGCACAATGTTCAGCTCGTTGTCCTCAATGAATGAGTCCAAATACTTGATGATGTTCGGATGGTTCAGTTGCTGTACCAGAAGGGAAAGGGGGGTGTGTCACATCAGTGATGAGTGGCGTGGCCCCCGTGCCCACCCAGCTGCTTAGAGAGGAGAGGCTCCTCCTAAGGCACCGAGAAGCTCACATCTGCTAGAGATGCAAGAGCAAGCTACACACTTGGGGTTGAGTGGCCTGGGTGACACTGTCAAAGATACTCTTCATCCCTGAGCCTCACCTGTAAGATAGGCATGACATTCCAAAGAGGATCTGTGAGGTCAGACGGACTAAGACCCTTGAAGTCTGTGACAGCAGTTGACCAGGACCAAACAGAACTCAGAGGATACTTCTGGAAGTGATCTCTCCCTATCCCCCTCCAGGGCAGCATCAGGTCAGCCTCTGCCCAAGCTTAGCCTAAGGGATGCACAACACTCCTTCCTACTCCTTTTTTCTTTCTCAACTTCTGACCTATCTCTTGTAAATCTAAGAGCATTCTTGTCCTAAGTGTCACCAACTGACTCATTTAGTGTGGGCACCTAGCCTCAGGGCAGTGCACCCCAGCTAGCAGAAAGGACCTGGTGACACACCTACATGGACAAATACACCTCCCGAGTCTAGGGGAGGCTGAGGGAACTCCAACACTTCCCACAGAGTGGTCAGTCCTGTCCATCCATCACCTGACAGCTAGGGGCTGACTGACCAGCCCAATTCCTAAAAGCCCCAGAAAATTCTGAGTCCAGGCCATCTAAGGAGCACCCAGCCAGGGCCATCAGGGAGAGCTATGGTCTCAGGATGAATGAAAATTACTGAGGCCAGGGGTATGAAGGGATGGCTTGTACAAAGGCCCTGTGGTAGAAGGGGCCTGGCATTTCCCAGGGACTGAAGCTAGGTTAGAGGTAGCTGAGGACTGACAGCAAGGCAGGGGGCTGCTGAGAGCTGGGGGGAGTGGGCACAGAACAAGGTGGGGCAGGGACAGTCTCAAGGTTCCCTGGATGCTCTGGTCTTTCCATAGAGCACCGAGAAGCTCTGAAAACTTGAAGGAGTCAGACCTTTTCATTACTGATTTGTCAGAACATCTATGCAGAAGACCTTTTGCTAGGTAGTGCTTTTCTCCTATCTGTGACTTGTCTTTTTATTTTGTTTAATAGCTAGGACAGACATAAACTATTCCTTTTCCTATTATGGGTAATATTCTCTGTGTCCTGAGACACCTCTGCTTACCCTCCAGCTATAACAAGCCCCCACAGTTTTCTTCTACAAACTGGCCTGGTATTCACAATGTAGTCTAGGCTGGCCTTCAATTCATGGTAATCTTCCAGCCTTGGCCTCATACATGCTGGGATTACAGGTGTATGATATCACACTGGGTTTAGCTTTAGCTTTCATATTTGCTTACAAACTATAGAAAGGATCCCCAAATTTATAGTCTTTAACTTTCTAATCCATGTCATGGTTGTTATGTCTCAGCTCCATCTTTCCCATCAGCAGATCCAATTTCCCAACATCCTGGGTTCTAACTCTCCTCATCCACTGAATTGCTTTGGTGGTTCTGTTTGAGGAGGTCGTCGGAAGCTGACACTGGTGGCTGTGGCAGCTGTGGTCAGCTGCTGACAAGGCACATCATGTTCTATGGTGTATCTTATTGATGAGAAAGAGGATTAGAGTAATTGGTGGCTGGAGGAACATTGTTTTGAAATTTGTAACATGCAGCTGGGTGTGGGGGCACATGCTTGTACTCCCAGCTTTAGGAGGCTGAGGCAGGAGGGCTGCCACAAGTTCAAGGCCAGCCTGGGCTTCACAGCAAGACCGTGACTAAAAAAAAAGTATATAAGTCTATACATCTGTAAAGTGCATCAGTAGCTCCTTCTCTCCTGTTGAATATGGCCTCATGACTTCCTGGAGGCTTCCCCAAACCTATCCATGCAGTTTCTCAAACAACTTGGAAAAAGCAAGAGGGGGATTTGGTCATTAAAGCTTCTGGAACAGAGGTGCTGCCTAGGCCTGAGGTCAGGCAGTGTGGCTGCTCCCACAAATACCCCATCGGTCTACAAAGGCTCAGATAAAAAGCCATTCCCTCCCCCATCCAAGGTTAACTGGGCCAAATCCTTGAAGCCCAGAGAGGTCACAGATGCACAGCAAGCAGACAGGAGCAGAGCCGAGGACTTTGCCTATGTAAGATCCACTTTAATCTGCAGCCCAGGAAGTGGGCCCAGAAGGGGAAGCTCCTCAGGTGAGGGACACAGGAAGTGCTGAAAAGATGCAAAGGTTGTGTCTGGACTTGGATGAAAAATGGATGGAAGGTCAGAGGGGAGGAGGAAAGACAGGCTGAGGGTCAAGGGCCCATTGATTGGAATATCCCCTTTGCTTTCTCAATGTTATACCTTCCATAACTTCCATGAGTAAGTCTGCCTGGCCCCTGTCTTCCCCACTGGGCTGTGTCCTCTGCATATGGCACTCAGAGATAGTCAATCACCACAAAAATGGAGACTAGTCCCACATATGGCCGCCACCCACCATACCATCTCACACACTGGAATTTGAGACTTGAGGTGGTAGCATGGGTGACAGAAACCATGTCACCGGGGCTCCTGAGAGACTCATTTCCCTTTGTTGCGTAGGAAGCATTTTGTGGCCCTAGAATGTCCAGTTCACTTCCTAGAGGAGCCCAGGATTGTACTCTGGAAAGGGGCTGGGTGGCCACATGGCTCACAGGGCTGCGCTGGCTGAGCAATTCCAGAGTTCTTCAGATGAGCTTCCTTGCTGAATCCCATCAGCTCCCAGTGGCACAGCTGCCTTCCTACCTCCCGTTTTGAGGACTGGGATTGAATCCAGCTCCCTTCTGTTCCCACGTTCAAGCACTCTGCCCTGAATGTGGGGCTGGCCCTGCTGACACCGCCAGCCTGTGTCATTCGCTGCACACCAGATTCTGAGACAGTGCCCTGGCCTCCTGCTCGAAAGGAAGCAGGTTCCCTGGGCTTTGGGCTCTTTGGTGAGAAGGCCTGAAGGTCCACCAGGTATCTGCCTGCACCCCCACCACCTGAGCATACCACTGGCAGGGCCTAGGCCTGAGAGCACAGGGCTGTGCCTGGCAGAAACATCACATCTCTGAGATTCTGCAGACTTCAGTTAGCGTCACTGCCACCAAGTGCCCCACTCTGCTGGAAACTGTGGAGCAAACTACTTTATGGGGCAGGGAAGAGGCTGGCTAGCTCCTGCATACCCTGTGTCCCCAGGCCCTCTCCACATTTTAGTCTGTTGCTGTTGGTAGTGTGAGTGAGTGTGTGTGTGTGTGTGTGTGTACACGCGCATGCACACATGCCTATTTACACATGGAACCTAGGACAATGTCAGGTGTTGTTCCTCAGGAGCTATCTACCTTGTGTTTTGTTTGTTTGTTTGTTTTTTGTCTTTTTTGAGACAGGGTCTCCCTATAGTCCCAGCTGACCTGAACTCACTATGTAGACCAGGCTGGACTTGAACTCATGGCATTCCACTGCCTCTGCCTCCCAAGTGCTGGGACTAAAGGCGTACGCCACCACGCCTGGCTTACCTTGCTATTTTTAAATTGTACATTGTTACTGTGTATGTATGAGGTGTGAGTGTGTGCATGCCATAGTGCCTGGGTGGAAGTCAGAGGACAACTTTGTAACATTGGTTCTCTTCTATTTTATGTGGCCTTGGGGGACTGAGCTCAGGTAGTCAGGCTTGTATACAAATGCTTTTCTTGCTGAGCCATCTTGTTGGCCCCATCTTGTTTTTTGAAAACTGGGTCTTTGGTCTGGAGCTCACCAAATAGGCTAGGCTAGATGGCCAGTAATCCCCAGGCATACTCCTGTCTGTACCTCCCCAGTGATGGGATTACATGCGTGGATTTTTTTAACATGGGTTCTGGGGATTGAACTCAGGTCCTCAAACTTACAAGGTGAGCACTTTACCAACTGAGCCATCTCCCCAGCTTTATTTACACATTCCTCTCAGTCCCATAGGGTAGCCACTCCTGCCACTTAGCAAGTAGGAGAACAGAAGGTCATGGAGGCTGTCACTCTGTAAAATGTCAACACAGCTTGGAAATGATGACATGAGGATTGGAACCTAACTTCCTGCCTCTGAACCCTGAGCCTTTGCTCCTTTCCTAGCCTCCCCTGCCACCTCTGGAATTCAAGAGTCTTTGAGATCTCAAACCTGGGTTGGAGAAAAATCTTCAGGAAATAGAAGCTCCAGCCAGGGCCTAAGTCAAGTCCAGAAAGTTCTGCTATCACTGGCTCAGGGGAAACCAACACAGAGGTTGTGAGGAGGAAAGAGGGGACAATAGCAGACACTTATGTCATGCTAGTCTCCTAGGCCCACAGCATTTGACTTGCAGTAATCCAACACTGCTGGCCCCACCAAGACCCAGCTGACCTAGCTAAGAACTGCCTGGCCCAGTCAAGACCTTCCTGGCCCAGTCAAGACCCACCTGGCCCTGCCAAGACCTGCCTGGTCCTGCCAAGACCCACCAAGACCACATAAGATCCAGCTGGCCCCACCAAGACCCACTGACCCAGCCAAGACCTGCCTGGCCCAGTCAAGACCCACCTGGCCCTGCCAAGACCTGCCTGGTCCTGCCAAGACCCACCAAGACCACCTAAGATCCAGCTGGCCCAGCCAAGACCTGCCTGACCCCATCAAGACTGGCCTAGCCTCACCCACTCACCTTTAGGAGGCCAATTTCCTTGACACAGTCCTGCCTGGCCTTGGCATCCATCATCTCAAAGATCTAGGGCAAGAGAAAGCCAGAAACAGAGCAGTTAAAACCAGTGCCAATGGACAGGATTCAAGTCCTGGCTCACCCCGCTCCTTGCCAAGGACCCCAGAAGAGCCAGAATCCCCGCTTACTGAATGCCAGCATGAGCCAGGCACTGTGTGACTGGCTTCACCTTAGTCCTGTGATGCCTTCCATCTGGCAGGAGTCATTGTACCCAACCCCTAGAGCAGGGATGGAGGCCCACAACCTCCAAGGCTTACTGAGGTCACACTCTTATTCCTCACCACCCCAGTGCTCCCTCAATGGGGACCTGCAGTGTAGGACTTGTATATAGGTGCAGATCAAAGGTGACCATCACAGCAAGAGAAAAGTAAGACAGCCTGGAATGCTATCTGGGAAGGCCAGAGCAGTTTCTTAGCTGCAGGAGCCCAGAGTCATGGAGCCATGTGATGGCCAGCACTGACGCCACCCAGCCAGTGTCCTCCCATCCTCTCCCATAGATGCCTGACTGAGCGACCCTCTCTGTCCAGGGACTCCTGGGCCCAGATGGCATGTTTCACTCTGCAGATAAGCCAGTAGACTGAGGGGCTTGGGCAGTCTGGAGGATTTCACATGTTTCATGTTGTATGCTTTCTAGCTTGACCTTGCAGCTACAGCCCTCCCCTCCATTTAGAAGGGTCAGAGAGGGCAGGATAAACCTGAGCCAGAGCCTTATATAGGTGGGGGTGGGGATGAGGATGAATGTAGGTGCCAGGTCAGGTGTGGCTCTTGCTTTCCCCCTAAGTCCCCTCTGCCCTGGAGAGTTAATGAGTCTCTACTGTTTTCCTCATCTGAAAAAAGGGGACGCTCTCAAGGTCCCATGCCCTCTAAGCACATTCATGTATACAGCAAGTGCTCAGTGCATGCACATTTTTCTTTTCCTTTATGGTTTACAGTGAAGTAAACTCCAGTCCTCCTGTTCCTCTCTGGAGCCTGGGAATGGAGTCACAGAGAAAGGGAAAGAGGTTGTGGCCAAGGCCACAGTGTTCAGGGGCTGCAGTGGGTCCTGCAAAGCAGCTCGGGCTCAGCTCTGAGCTCACCTGTACTTTTTTCAGAGCCACCGTCTTCCTGTCCAGCAGGCAGGTGGCCTTGTATACCTCACTGAACTGCCCTCGGCCAATCTTCTTCTCAATCTGGAAGTCCGCCAGTGAACAGCGAAAAGACAGGGTGTTGGGGTGCCTCTGTGGGAGAGAGAGGGCACTGGTGATCAGCCAAGCAGGAGTAGGAGGTCTGGGATTAGACAGCTGAGGCTTCTGGGATCCAAATACCCCAACAGCACTGTCTAAGGTGAAGAAGGGACTTCACTTACCAACCCCAATACCAGAACCTCCCCTCAGTTCACTGAGGGCTCTCCACACTGGTCCTGTCTGCTCCCCACTGTGACCACGCTGGGAGGAGTCCAGTGGCTTGTTTCCCTCCCATTGTCCTCCAGACCCTTCATGCCATCAGAGGCTAGCTCTGGGGGGCCACCCTGTTCATTCCCAAATCCACACCGCCCAGGTCCAGACCTGGCAAGTAGATTGTGTGACAAATGTCAGAACAAGCTGCATGTGACATCGCTTCAGTCTCACTCCAGGCTCATCAGCCCTTCCCACAGGTCATGGCCTGACACTGTAAGTCATCATTAGCAATGGTGGGTCCCTTCCTGGGACAGCCATTCCCCAGTAGAGAGGGGATACCAAGCTTAAGATGTACAGCTTACAGTCTGAGCTCCTTCTTTGGAAGATCAGCCTTCTTCATGGTGACACGAAGAAATCAGACTTCACGGTGATGCCGCAGAGCCAGCATCATAAGCCATGATAGAAAAGAGGGATAGTTATTGCCCACTGAGGATGGTTTGGAAAGATCCCTGCCTGGAGACCTGGGCAGGGGTAAGATGTCTTTTGGGCAAACTCTAGGAACGACAAGCACCCTACCGTCCACCAAGTGCCCTCTTAGAAGACAAGCTTCACTGAGTGCTATGCATGCCCAGCACGGTATGGCTATCACCCATGCCACCTTGTTGAGCCCTCAGAGCCATCTCTGAGTAGGCCCCACTGCAGGCAAGTGAGGGCTGGTGGGTACAGCAGTTCCGGTTCCTACTCCCTGCTTCTCCTCCAAGATTCTACGAGGAGCCAGGGTTGCCTCTTCCTGCTCAAGCGTCCTTCTTTCCACCACCCACACCTCTCCCAGTACTCTCCCAGGCTCTTCCAGGATGGGGTCCCTCTATGCCCCATGAATTAACATTAAGTGTCCTGGGTATATTTACTGTACAGCACAGTAGATTGTGCTCCAAACGGCCTGGTGCTCAGGAACACAGCTGAAATCACCCTTAGAAAGAGCCAAGGTGGCTCCTGAGCCTTCAGATAGACATGGACTGGCGGAAGCAACAACAGGCTGCTGTGTGTTGGGTACCTACTATGTGCTAGTTGCCAGCTGCTTTGAGCCCAGCCCTTCCTGACAGCCACAAGACAGAAGCAAGGGCTCGTCATCCGAGACCCAGGCCTAGCTAATGGAGAGGAACTGAAATGTCTCATCTGATCTGGGGCCAGCTGTCTGATGTGGTCCTGGGGTGGGGGTCTTCCTCCCCTGGACCTCAGCATTCCCCTGGTTTGGTGAAGGATGTGGAGGGGATGATCTCCAGGGGTCTTTGCTCTGAGAACACTGGGTTTCTTCTCACTGGGATGGGTGAATGGTTGGCTGATGTCCCCAGTGACACCGTGGTCAGCCTGGGAGGCCATACTGTCCAATCCTCAGTTGTCCCAAATCTCCAGTGGATGTGGGGTGGTAGATGTGGGGTAAATGGGTAATATCCAGGCTGAGGCTGAGATGCCAGATGCACATCTGCATATGGATGACCCAGATTTGCATTTCCTGTCACAACCATTCACCCTAATTAGAGGCATGTGCTCCTGTGGTGTGGCCTGGGCAGTGCTATGCACTGGGGGCATGTCCAGTTCATTCTCCACTGCCCACAGTGGGCTGGGCTGAATCTTGTCCCTGGAGGAACTCTGCTTGGGTGTGGGGTACCTCAGGACATAGGGATCCAAAAAACAGAGTCCTAACCCTAACTGAACGCCAAAGAGAGAGGGAGGGTGAAGGGTCTTCTCACCCTCGAGGCCAAGCCTCTCTGTCTCCCTTTCTGAGGCCTGCTTCCCATCCCAGGTCACCCCAGAATGACCTTGGGTCATTCATTCATTCACAGAGACAGGGACAAAGGGCCCAGATGTCTGGGAATCCCAGGAAGTGGCACAGAGTGACGAGAGTCCATAGGGCTCTAACTGCCCTGCAAATAGGGCTGGGGCCCAGAACACTTTTATGCAAAGTGACCACAAGATAAGAACTGATAGAGGCTGCCTGAGGGCCTTTCCAGTGGTCACTTACTTCTTACCATCCTCTGCTCTGACACCCTGTGCTGGCTCCCAGGGAGAACACTCCTCCTGGACCTGGACCCAGGCTGGCAGAGGAGCAGCTTCCCCTGGGGCCCTGACAGATGAGAACTGAGCACTGGGCCTGCATTGTGGGTTCAAATCTTGACCTGGCCACTCCCATGCTGTGGGTCTTGGTACCCTCATCTATGGAGGAAGATGGAGCAGCCTCTGTGAGCAATGGTTGTAGACAGCAGGAAGGGCCTGGTGGATGGGAGTCAAGGGGACGGCTGAGGTCCCTGGCAACTGTCCCCAAGTGCATCCTCCCTAGAAATGTCACCAGCTTTCTCAGGCCTAGGCAGGGCATATGGGGGGCAATGGGTTTAGACTAGGATCTGCAGTCCCCCAGGACCCTTATTCCATCCCAGAAAGCCCTGAGAAAACCAAGCTGTCTTCTCCAAGTCAGATCAGATCAAATTAGGCCACAAATAACACCCCCACACCCTTCACTAATTTGAGTGTAAAATGTTGAACCACAATATGCCTTAGCCATCGACAAACCCTTTTCTCTCCTTTGCTCCCTAAACAAGAGCATAAAATTTCATGTTAGGAGAAAAATGCATTCGCCCAATTAATTTTCTGAAATCTCATTAAAAAATTTAGCCTGACTAAGTCAGACTTCTGACCTGAATTTTAATCATCTTTACACTGGATGGGCCTCTTCTCCCTGATAGTTGCAATGCATCATTAATTTTAAGGCAACTGTTTCTACTATTTTAAAAAGCACACTTCATCAGCATGACATTTCCTGTAAATGAATTTCACCTTTAAAGACATCTGACACCTTGTATATAGGGAGCTTCAGTGGATTTGGTATCCATGGACAAAGTGATGTGTTTTAACTTTGCGTCACACAAAAGGGCACAATTTACAAAGAGTCCACATTGTCAGACGCCTTGTGAGGCCAACCTGGCTCACTGTGGCTATTCTCAAACCAAAAGCCAATCTTCGTTCTTAAAGATATAAAGATGGAGACCTGAGTCAAATCCTGCCTCTGCCCTCCAGGAGCAAGACAGCAGTCCCTTCCTTGCACAATGGAACACTGGATAGGTCTTCCTGTGCAGCGGAAGGACTCAATGATCACACTGTTAGCATGATCCGTCATTGGCACTGTCCTAGCTTGGAAGTCAACCTCAGGCTCCGTGGGTGCTCAGCTCACAGAGCTGAACAATTGCCCATTGTGCATAGATGCAATAAGAGACACCAAATCACCCAAAATACAGTGCTGCCCCCGACAGGATGATCCTTTTCATCCTAGCCGGACGAGAGCTGAGCTCGAACACGCAGATCAGAGAATCAGAGCCTGCTGAGAGCACTGCCAGGCAAAGAAAGGCTGGGAGGAAAAGACAGAAACAGGAGTCTAGTAGCAGAGACTGGCCCTTCCCCTTCTCAGTGTGCTTGGCACATCCTTGTGGATGCTGCTGTGCCCCATTTTTACCCTACTTGAGCCTGAGGCCTCAGCCCCCAGGGATCTTTCTAAAACCCCCTTGTCAACTTCAAACCCACAGTGGGCCTCCCCTTCGCTATGACAGAGCACTAATCTGGGCCCATTCCTAAACACGGGGTTTGAGCACTGGCTGGTTCTTAACTTGCCTGGCCTACCTGCAGGTCTGTGATGCACTCTCTGCTCTTACTGGAATATTCTCCTCTCTGTCCTATTCCTGACTCCTGGTCATCCACTGAGTAGAACCAGTCACCCCAGCCTCTGGTCTCCCCTAAGCTGTCCAGTGCCCTACTCTTCATCTGTTTATCTCCCCAGTAGGCTATGAGTCCCAAGGGCAGGTACCCAGGGAAAGGCCCACAAAAGGAAATCATCACCTCCTAAATTTGTAATCAGTAGCTGGCACTCTTGAGTTTGTGTGTGTTTGTGCTGTATGTGTGTATGTGTACACGTGTGTATGTGAACTTGGAGGCCAGAAGTTGATGTCCAGTGTCTTCTACAATCTGTCGTCTCTATTTTTGGGTGAGAGTCTTTTT